ATTCCTGCTTTCAAGACACAGTTGATTAATAACTTTATTCATGAGCTGTAGCTTAGTTACCTATAGCTTAGTTAATTGCATTTCAATTTTACTTAATTTTTTTTTCCAGGAAATCAGGTTATCCATGTTCATTTCAAAGTCCAGTTACTTGGGAAACTAACATTTCCAGAGAAAAAAAATTTTTCCAAAAAAAAAAAATAAAAAAATAATCTTCTTTATTCCATTAAGCTGTGGTTCCCCAGCCCTTGGGGTTCGCTGGCAAATGGAGCTCCTACGGACTTCAGAGGATCCCTGTTCTCAGATCCTCCCTGTGGGGTGCACAGCAGGACAAGATACAAGCTCTATTTCTACCAGCTCATCTACCTGTCTCTGCTTTACAGTTTAACCATATTTTTAAAAAGCACATATTCTTCTGGGGATAACTCATTCATGACATTTTCCTTTTTATTGCCTAACTTGGTTTTAGTTAAGTCAAAATCCTCAGAGCAATTTTGTTTAAAAAAATCTAAAAACTTATTCAAAAACAAAATATAAAATGGCAGCAGCTCAGGAAAAAACTCTAAAACCTGGCTTACATTTGAAATAACAAGTAAAAGTTTTTAACCTTGAAGTTTATTTTTACAAGAATCCCTTAGTCACAGTTGCAATCCTGTGTGAGCATGCTTTATACGCCGCTGCCACTCTGTTTTCCCTATCGACGTGGAGTATCAGATGACCTCACGTGGCTAAAATCGCACAGCAAAAACAAGACTAGCGAACTTAAAGAGAATATAAAGCAGTATACTGTTAACTTTGTGTTTGATTAGATTGCTAATATCAGCCATTTTATCTTTAAAGTTTCAAATAAATCTGCTCAAACAAATGATAGGAAAGGGTTCTAAATCACTCCACCTCTGAGCCTCCTTTTCCTGTACAAGTACATACTGAATTCTCAAGTCCTGAGGTATTTATTTCTCTTGTTCTTAACTATCGATAACCATTTTCCTTTTTTCCTTATGGTTCATATAAAAATAATGATTAAAGTCGTGTTCCTATGTAAACCACATGTAGAATTAAAGGGAAATATTTATCAAAACAGTGACCTTTCGAGTTTGATTAGTAAAATCACCCAGGGAAGCTATTGTTCCATCCCACCTGGTCGGTGGGTAGAATGCACACTTCATCATGCCCCTCCTGGGAATGTTTCTTAAACTCTCCAGAAGTCTAGGAACTCTATGAACTGAGAGTGGGAAATGGAATAAATGATTCTGAGACTAAGACAAAGAGTTACAGTGAATTATTTGGGGTTTTCTGTTTTTTAATTTTCATTTGGGAAAGCATTAGTACTTGTCAAGGTGCAAAGAATGAACAGAATCCATGGTAGAAGTCTGAGATTGGAATTATAAGTCTGCTTTGTCCTTAGAGGTGATGGTATAGATTCCATGTTTGAAACAGTACCATGTAAAAGGGAAATTAAAATCTTCAAAATGCTTTGTTTTCTAAATCTTGTTTACAGAATTCTCCCAATAATATGAGCCTGAGTAATCAGCCGGGCACTCCTAGGGATGATGGCGAAATGGGGGGAAATTTCTTAAATCCTTTTCAGAGTGAGAGTGTAAGTATTCCCTTGACTACGTTACTATATCCAAATTTTATTTCTGAAGCTCTTCTTTAGAATAAATGCATAAAGCCATTATTACGACTGTTTATCTAGAGTTGAATAGGTTGATCTTTTAAAAGTTAGAAAACTAAGTGGAATTTCTTTGAAAGTATTAAAAAATAAACTTTCTACTCCGATTCTATGTACATAGTTACAAAGACAAAAACTTTAATACTAATTTTACTTTAGAAAACATCCACCATAAAGGAACGTACTAGAAACAGGTTGCATATGTGATCGTTTTTATAAATTTTTCACACTACTAAAATGTCTTTGATCACTGCAAAACCAGGTTTATTCTCAGTGCTGTCCTGAAAGCTCTGAAAATTGTCTCTAAGATGTCTTTACATTATGCACCAGACTTTCCTGTCTTGTATGTTAACGAGTTATTTACATTTAACCTGAACTGGGTATCCACGTCGTTTTCTGTGTGACTATAGTGTTAAGCAAAGGCAATATCATTTCATGTCTCCATAGAAGTAGATAGGAGCAAATGGAGAAGCGATAAAATTCATTCCTTCATTTAACAGTCACTGAGCACTGACTACAGGCCAAAGCAATGTGCTAGGCACTGGAAAGACCAAAAGGACAACATGGTGTCTTTTCTCAAGGACTTATTGCATTATACAATAATTTATTAACTAATATTTCACATAAGAAGCATCTATAGAATTTTTAAAAATACAATTTCCCAGAACCCTCCCTGGACCCAGCAAATCAGAATTTCCAGGAGTGGGGCCAGGTATCCTCCCATGTGAAAAAGCTTCGTCAGTGATGCTGATGCACATTCTCTGCTAAGAACTCCTGAACTGGAATAAAGGAGTTCAGAACCCAAACTAGTTTCATGTTCATAGAATCAGTGCCTCCAATACATGTACCGCCATCATTAAAATAATGGAGGATCTACCAAACTATAAACAGAATCAGAAGAGAAAATTACCTTCATTTTGCCCAGACCTTTACCAGAGTTGATGCCATCAGAATTTGAAGTGGTGGCTAATAACATACCTACTTTTGCACAGAATGGCTGCTTCCCAAAATGGAACCCAAGATTGAGTGTTCTGTGGTTTCCTTTACTTCTTTGTGTGGACCTAGCACCTCGGCATGGGACAAGACTTCCCTTGTTTTTAGACTTTAATTTCTGTTAAAACTAGAAATAATATGATGATCTTTAGTTTATCTGTTTTATTTGCAGGATATTTATGATTAGTGAGAACCAAGAAGGTATACATAAAAACTCATATTTAAAGAAATCAAAAGATTAGCCTGTCAATGATGAGGAACTAGAAAAATGTGAGGAACTATATAGTTTTTCATAATGCTTAGGATTATGGGATTTCTTAGAGCCCGTTTCTTTCACTAGTTTGCTTCAAGACTATGGACAAATTAGTTAATTTTAATTAATTAATGTTCACTTTATCTAATTAGACACATTAATTTCATTTTATGCTAATTCTTCCAGTAATGGTATAATTCAGTGAGGTATATGATAATTAATTCAGTTCAATTCAACATGTATTGAGCCTGCACTATGCAACGCACTAGGTTAAGGACAAAATATTCTGAAACAAACATAACACATCCCTAACCTCAAAGAATGCAATCTGATGGGAAGAACATGTTTACACAACTAATTAAACCATATGTCAGATTAATAAGTGCTACAGCAGATATAAACCAGGTGTTTTAAGAGCACCAAGGAAAGTATTAATTTTGTATTGGAAAAGAAAACTTCTTTAAAAAGGTTCCACGTGACTCTAACTTTAGGGGCAGTGACGACAGGAACTCTCCCCCTTCCTTCCCAGATTTGTTGTGGGCGACTGCCGCCTTGTTTGCCAGAGAGGGGAGCTGCTTCAGAGTTGGCATCAGAAAGCTCTTCACGGGGATCAGAGAATCAGATAGAACAGGACTTAAAAAACTACTTTGTGCAGAATAAACACCAGCCTCATCCTTTAACCCCAAGTGGATTATGCACATGCTGGATAGCAGATCCCTCTGGGAATATGTACATAGCATATAGAGCCACTGGAGTAGGGCTTCCTCCACCCCTGACTCCTGACCCAGCCTCGCTACCCTTAAAGCCAAGAAGCAGGTAAAACGCCAGACTGCTGTGCAGAGTTAGCAGAAAACAGAAGCTCCCTCCTGTCTCCCCGCCTCCCTCTCTCCTGTCCCCACTAGCAAAGTCCCCAAAAGAGAAATACTTGGACGGTGGTTGAGAACCTGCACCACCGCCTGGAGGGTAGTGCAGCCTTGGAAGCGGGTCCACACTGGCTGTGCTGTTCTGTCTGCCTAGTGAGGGGTCTACATGCTATGAGTGACACCCTGGTTATCTGTGGCTTCCTCTATCACATCCACACATTTTTGTTTGCACCTTTTTAAAAGATCAAGAAAAGAGAGCAGAGAGGAAGAAGACAAAAGAGATTCATTGCTGACAAATGTAGTAAGGCCTTAAAGATGTAAATAGACTAGATATCTCCACTAAGTTAGCTTTACTATCATCGAGGAAAACCAGGAGGTCCAAGAGGGATGGGATATATGTATACATATAGTTGATTCACTTCACTGTACAGCAGAAACTAACACAACATTGTAAAGCAATTATACTCCAATTAAAAATAAATAAATAAATAATTTTTTAAAAGAACACATTTCCAGTGACTAAACATGCAAACTGAATTCTAGTGGTTTTTAATGCACATAAGTCTGAAAAGCACAGATTTTTGAACAGTCTGCCTTTTGAGGGTTTGTTGGTCTTTATCTTGAAGTTTAACCACATAAGAGGCCTGGGAAGAGAGCAAACGTCTATTGACTGATTATCCTGTACAGACACTATCCCAGTCACCTTACGCATACTAAATGTAATCAATATAGAAACAGAAATGTCCAACGCAAAGGCAGAAACCTTGCAGTGCCAACACACTTTACACAAGAAAATAGGAATCAAAAAATGTTTCAACATTCAGACTCTTTTGGCTGGGGGATCCAAAAAAGAGCCTTTATTTCAAGAAACAAAGATGCCCCCTAGTGTTCAAACTCTATAAAATGTTTGGCTTTAAAAACAATACAAAAAGGCTTAATTCAAAGTATAGTGCTTCGTGCCTCTCAAGTAAAGAAAGCAGTTAGTCTTGTTTCTTGAATTAATTTAGCAGAATATTTTCACCATAGCATTGAACTATAATCAATTGAGAAAACATGCTATTAAAATCATGGTGTCAAATAGAAATTAGAAACAAGGTGATAGATCATTTCCTATTACCCTTACTGCCTTTTTTCATTTTCTTCTATTGTAAAGAAATCACATATGCCCCAGTTTTTTTTTTTTTACATAGTTACATACACACTAGATTTATTTCACTTTAGTTCAGCTCAGGTACCTGTAGTATTATCTCTCATTAAGAAAAAATACTATATAGATGCTTAGAAACAGAAATGTAAGATCTGAAGTGATCTTGAAGTGTATGAAGAGAAATGTAGGATCTGAAGTGTTCTTGAAGTGTGTGAACAGAAATGTATGCACATTGTTTGAAGATTTAATGGACATTTCTGATGGAGTCCATGGTACATGAACTGGGTATAATAAATTCTCTAGTTGATGTTTTACATGCTAAACCAAACACTGATGCAGTCAACAGCACTGTAAGGCCACTTTATCATTTGATCAAGGAGAACCAGACTCAGAATAGTTTTGAATGCTGTGATATGAGGGCAACCTGATATCACAGCATTCTGACACAAACACTAGAATATGTCACGGCATATTGATGCAGCAGTACAACAGAAACATTACAGTGTGGTCTCAGGACAATACACCATGAATATTTTATGTCTCTAAATATGATACCCCATTTAACACTTGCTCTTCTACTTCTAGAAAACTGTAAGCCACTTCTGCTTGAATAGTAATCAATAGCAAAATTCCTTTTTGCTGGCATATTCTGTGAGTTTCCCTAGAAAGTTTGCAATTTCCCTCAATCTTACTTAGTTGAAGCAGTTTCAATAAAGGCAGCAGCAGATGAGCAGTTTACAGCCTTAGCAGTGCAAATAGCCCATCGCTTATAAAGACAGTCACACACAAATACAATCTGTTTTACTGTACCAAATACACTTAGGGCATCATTTTACAGTTACTTGTACTATTCAAAATTTAAATTTCATTAGATGCTTGCTAATTTTTGAGCTGTATTGCTTGGAGATGGTGCTTCCATCCTTTCTGACTGAATCTGGCCCTGACTTTCATGTTGTACCCTATTTTCCACTCAGTTTCCTCCCTAAATAAGCCTAACTCTCTTTAACTTCCCAATGAATCTGTAACAGATTCTCATTTTACTGTAAGATATGCTTAAGACATTTGAAATAACACAGGTTAAAAATCTTAACAATTGCCAATGTTAAGAAATGGGAGCAACCAATAACCATGCTTGTTAGCAGAGAATGTGCATATATACTTGTCTCTATATACGCATACTTTTAATGGTGTATAATTAGAATGAAGGCTATAATATATTCTTAACTATATTCCCTAATGTTACATTGCATTTGAATGAACTGGAATAATCCTTGTGAAAAAAAGGATTCGGGGATTTTTAAAATCTGATTATTCAGGAGGTGCATTAAATGAGATGGTCTCTAGAATTAATTATGACTTATCCAGAAAATTTTTTTCCAACATATCCTTTGAAGTCCTTTTAAAAAAAGGAGACTTTAAAAAAGCTTTAAAGTCTTTCACTGTGTTTAGATTGGCACAATATACCCATTAAAAGCTTTGTCTTTAAAATAATGATTGATGGGCTTCCCTGGTGGTGCAGTGGTTGAGAGTCCGCCTGCCGATGCAGGGGATGCGGGTTCATGCCCCGGTCTGGGAAGATCCCACATGCCGCGGAGCGGCTAGGCCCGTGAGCCATGGCCGCTGAGCCTGCGCGTCCGGAGCCTGTGCTCCGCAACGGGAGAGGCCACAACAGTGAGAGGCCCGCATACCGCAAAAATAATAATAATAATAATGATTGATGATCTAGCTGCGCTATTTAAAATTAAATACAGTTAAATTTTCAGTTCCTAAATTACACTAGCTACGTTTTAAGAGCTCAGCAGCCATGTGTGGGCGCTGTACTGAACAGCACAGAATAGAACATATCCATCATCACAGAAGGTTCTACTGGGCAGTACTGATTGGCTCACCGATCCTTACTATAAATAAGCAGTAGCCATAGAAAGCATAGATTAAATTTCCTATGCCCATTTTGCCATATTATGTTTTCTACTTTTAATAAAACCTTAGTATCCATTTATCTCCTTGTTTAGTCTTGCCCCTGAAAGTCAAATGCCAAAATATGATTATTTTGTCAAAGGTTGTGGATAGGTCATGGCAGTGTGCTGTCATTATTTGTAGTGGAGATTTGCATGGTATCTCCTGATGAGATGGGGGTAGATCCCCTCCCAGCTCAGGGATGTGGTGGGCTCCACTTCACTGATCCTTCTCAATGATTGTTTAGGGGTTTGGGGTTTTGTTTAGCTTTGCTTTTTCGTTGCCACTATCAAGCATAAAGAGGGAGTTTTTCTATCAAACTGAATCCCCTTTCGCTTCTCTGGCGGTCTCCCCTTTACATCACCCTACTCACTGTAATCCAATGTGGAAGGTCAGTAACATATATAAATTAGCTTTCCTATACTGAGGAAATTTGAGGCTATTAAGGGATTAACAAGTAGATTTTTCCTTGATCTGACCTGTGTTTAAAGGATTAACAATCCTCCCCCTAAGGTCCAGTGACCCGTTTTCAGGCCTAGTCATCTGCTTTTACTCAGGATCAATGTGGGCTTTTCGGTTTGAGCACTAGATCAAACTCTAATGACCTCCAGTTCAGACTTCTGCCAGCTGAGCCACTGTCACCCTGCGCTCTTCCCTGGGAAATCCTGCTTTCTCCATATTAACAAATCCATCCCTATCTAGTACACGCCTCATACTTCGTTTCTGATTCCTGCACGACCTCCGCTCATTTGGAATTCACTTCTTTCTGTTCTGTCTGTTCCTTTTTTAGAAGGTTCATGCTCCCCTTCCCAGGACCATCACTGTTCCTGGTTAAGCCCCTGCAGCCTGGGACTAAACCCTCTCACTTTATTTGCCTCTTTCCATGAGGTGCAATCATTATTAGCGCATTAAAAGGAATTCCCTTTTGCCCTGGCCCTCACAGGTTCTTATAAAGCATTTAAAATATTCAAGAGGTCATATTAAATATGGAAACCATTACCACTTGGAAATAGATGCTCCTCCTTCCCGTCACAGGTGATCTATAATGTGCTGTCCAAGATGGTGGCCACCAGCTACGTGAGGATATTTAAATAAGTTAAGTTAAATAACATTAAAATTTTAGTTCCTGGGCTTCCCTGGTGGCTCAGTGGTTGAGAGTCCACCTGCCGATGCAGGGGACATGGGTTCGTGCCCCAGTCCGGGAAGATCCCACATGCCGCGGAGCGGCTGGGCCCATGAGCCATGGCCGCAGAGCCTGCGTGTCCGGAGCCTGTGCTCCGCAACGGGAGAGGCCACAACAGTTAGAGGCCCACATACCGCAAAAAAAAAAAAAAAAATTTTAGTTCCTCAGTGGCACTGGCCACACTTCATGGGCTCAAGTTGCCACATGTGGCTAGTGGCTTTCTTACTGGACACCACAGGTTGTGGAACGTGTCCATCGTTGAAGTAAGTTCTGTTGGGCAGAGCTGCTCTAGAACTTTTCTGTCACAGTCTATTCCTCAAGCATATGAGGGTAGATTGGCATCATTATCAAAATAATTGCTGTTTGTCATTTGTTAAGACCACTTTTCCAAATTTCTGAAAGTCTTGCCTTTTACCAATGGTTAGCCTCAAACTGACAAGTAACATGTAACAAGAATGCCCCTACTCCCACCCAGAAATGCTTGTGGACTGAGATAGGAGTCACAGCTTCAAGGAAGAAGTTTATATGCTAAAGTATAAATCAGACTCTTAAGTATTTTCTAAATACTTTGATAAGGATTTCTTATGGCCAGCTGGGAGTTATACTATTACTCCAGCATTTACTGAGCACTTTCCGTGTATTCAATAAATACATAGTTTTAAGGGTTTTATACTCAGTCCTCCCAAAACCCGTTTAAGATCGATACTATCATTAAGCTGATTTTACAGGTGAGGAAACAAGCACAGAGAGGTTAGTAACCTCCCAAGTTTACACAGCTAACAAAGACTATCCTATCCCTCACACATATTTGATTATTATGAATCAACCTTGGACTAGATTTACCCAAATTGTTCCAAGGGCCTATGGAACATGAATCTGGCTAGAAGGAGAAAGCTGAGGGACTAGGTACTTATCAAACCCCTAAGCTCAGAGAGAGAATGAGACTGCTTGCTTTCCAGAGGAAATATTTAACAATTCAGGACAGTCAATTCTATATAATTTTACTCTTTTTATGCTGTCTTATTTTTATGCTGTATTTAAAGCTTGTGCATAAAAGACATTAAAATTCACAGTTACTGTTGTTTACCAAGGAGAATATTAGTGGCCTGTAGAAGAATTGTTGTTAAAACATGGATTCTTCTCTCCTCCTAGTACTCCCCTAGCATGACAATGAGTGTGTGATCCATTACCAAGTCTCCTCATGGGAACCACAGTGAGTCAGCCCTTCACAGAACTACTACGGAAGAAAATTATTCATCACAGTGTACAGTTAAACAAAGGAATCTCAGTCACACCAAACCAACCTTTTTATTTCCTGCTCTCTCCCCTATTTTGTGAAGAAAGCGGGTCCCAACGTGATTCGAACAACTGTACAGAGCGGCATATTAGAATTGCCCTCAACGGAACTGCAAGTGATTATCTGTGTATGTATATGTGTGGGAAAGAGAATGTATTGTATGTGTGTATGTTATATGGACACATGCACATACATACATTGACCCACAGGACATTGTAAAATACTATCACATGACATCTTAAGTAGAAATAAGTAGGGACTTTTATTCCATCCTTTTTTTCACGTTTACATTTTAATTATTAAAAGTTGCTCCTGCCCCTCCCTGATCTATTTTGTGCTGTGTATATCACTGCTTTATATAAGTTATTTTTTAAGGTGAACTCAGATGTTATGGTTTTGTAAATGTCTGCAATCATGGATAGGAATAAAATCGCTTATTTGAGAGCTTTCATTAAATTGCGTGTGATGCAAGTTATCCTGTGAATCACAAAGTGTACTGTCTCAGAAAAGAAGTGTGTCTTCATCTTTATGTCAAATCAAACAACTTCTCAGTAACCTTCAGTGAGTATTTTTGTACTTTTTATGTAGGAAAAGTGTTACTTCAAATCAACAAAAGCTTAACTGGGGCCTAACACAGTATATTTCTGCAATAACTGCTCTAGATGGAATTCTTGATTTGTCTTAGATGATACAGAAAATCATTAATTTGCCGTGATTGCTTAGACCATAGCAATAAAGTGACAGGGGTCGTCATATTTTTAGCATCACATTTCCTCTTTAATACGATAAAGCCCAGAAGTGGTAACACAGCTATTTGCCTGAATATGTCACTTGTCACCAGGAATGCTAGAGCTAAATTTTTAATAACATACTAACATGAAATGTACCTCATTTTTATTCAGACTTGTGAATATCTCCACATAGACACTGCAAAGGAGATAGATTCAAATGATTGAGACTTTCAGCACAAGGGGGAGGGAGTTTTTAATCACACGCCAGGGGCTCTGGAGTGCTGCTTCTCTACCCAGGTATCTTAGTACCAGCAAAACTGACTGTCCCTTCTTGCGGCCAGCAGAGCACCTGCTCTGTTCCCAGGATATAGGACTTATAGTAGAGCGAAATTATTGATAGTAACTATATTTCATCTAGCCATTGACTTCAGTAGGCTACATATGCTTCATGTAACTGTTCATAAAACATTAGAAAAATTTAAACAAAACACTTCCCTTATGAAAGCACATTGCTCTATGGCCCTTTCCAGATCTTTTGGGTTTTCTGTGTTGAATCAGGCATACAAACATCAAAGTCATAATAGAAAAGTCTGAAGACTGATTTTACATTCTAAAGCTAAGTTGGTGATCCTTTCTTTGAAAATTGTGATAAAAATAACCATTGATCAGCAACTATATATCCAGACTCCAGAGACTTTGAAAAGCATTGTTTAATCTCAGGTAAGGGGCATCCATATTTCTTTAGGCGTATGGTCTCTAAAGTGAAAATTTGGCACTATATTTACTAGTTCCTCATCCCAGATGACTTATTTCTCTCAAATCCATAAGGATTTATTCCTTCTGAAAATAAAGATTTTTGCCTGTGCATGACAGGGATGTCAGGCAGAACTGTTAAGAGGGGAAAAGGAAGCTGAATTAAAATTTATGTTCCAAATTTAAACTAATCAAACTAGTTGCCATTAATCACACAGTGTGCCAGAGGCTAGGACTGCACACTGGAGAACAACTTCAAGCTTTCGAGCCACAGAGAGGCTTTCATGAAAAATTCAAACGACAAGGTCTTTAACTCAAGCCAAGGTAACCTGAAGATGACGCCTTGTACAGACACATGAATTTACCAAGAATAATTTTAACTTTCACTTTTTATGACAACTGTGTGAACACTGAGAGTCTTGTGATTATTAAGCTTAATCTTATAATGCTAGAATTTTGAAACCTTTTGTTGACTCTTTTCTCTATTGTTACTGATCTTGAATTTCTTTCATTTGCCTTCTAAGAAGGTATTGTTTCTTATAATCAAAGAATCCTGAGCATGATTTTACTTGCTCTTATTTTGGAAGTACTATTGGAATATGAAGGCAATAGGGTCCCATTATTTCTAGCCTATTTGGTCAAAATAGTAAAATTGACTTTTTCCAAGGTATAGCAATCAATTCAGCATATTTCTCTTTCTCTTGGAACCCAGATTAAAAATAGCTAGTTTTTTAAATTCCTGAAATCACTGAAAATTTGAAGAAGCTTTATTCAAGAAAACCAGAAAATAAAGATATTTAATTCCAATATCAAATAATTTTCTCATGCTCCGAATGGAGGATAGTATATCTGTATATTAATTTTGTTTAGATTTTGTATCATTTAAACCTTATCCTTTTCTCTTTTTACCCATGTTTTCCATGCATTTGTGTTGGTCTTTATATGTACTACCTGTTCCTGAGTTACTTTTAACATTTCACCTCACAGTAACATTAGCAATTCTTGCCTACATTGAACATATAAAATATACATGTGAAATATAAAAATAAATAGGTGAAAACATTATTACTCTGCTTTGCGTTCTGCCTAACTCACTACGGTTGAAAATATATGTCAGAGTCTTTCTAAGGTACATATGTCCTTAACTAGCTACCTTTCTTATAGCAAAGCTGCACACAGGAACAGAGGCTGTGAGGTGCCACTGATCTGGTAACAACCCACACATTTGATGGGTGAATGTTCCTTCTCCTTTCCAAGTGTTCCAGTTTGGACTCAGTTGCTGATGAACAGGAATTACATGGCTAAGAATCTGAGGTTAAGATTTCTCTATTGCCAGAAAATTAACAAATCTGCTCCCTGAGCCATGGAAAGTGCCCAAAACAACCCTTTCCCTCCAGAAATAAAATAAAGTGCCATTTCTATATTTATGATTCTCTAAGCTATCTGAACTCTGTTGCATTTCATAGGATCATTCAGTTAACACTCTTCTTGTAGTTTAAAAGAGCAAATGAAAATATATGAGTTCAGTTTGGACATGAGGAAGCCCTATGTCTGTCCATTACCTTTTCTCTATCATTTCATCCTGAGAATGTGCAGCAAAGCATTTAGAACTGTGCACTTGGCAAAGCGTTTTCCAGTCCTTAATCCCATGAAATCTTGACTGGGCTTTTTCTCCACGCCTCCTTCCCAATCCCTGCACCCTCCAGTAGAAATAAGATACAAACTGCACATTTTTACCTTCTTAGCCCTTACAGTTTTCTTCTTCATATAGTATATAGTTTTCCTAGGGGACGTAATCACAATTTCCACTTTCTGACTGCCACTGTTAATTGGGTCAGTGAACCATACCTTGAGAAATACTGGAAAAGTGAACCACTATTAATACACTTCCATTTGGCATATTAAACTTGCGTGTGTGTATGTGTGTGTTGGGGGTGGCAGTGTGAAGTTTGCTCACAAAACACTTCCATTATGACTTATGTTATATTATTGCACAACTGGTAACTATTAATTCCTTCCTTTGATTGTATGTTATTTCAATGGTAAAATAGCTGATTAAAGTGATTTCGGATGGAAAGAGTAATACAAAACATAAGCAGATGGACTCACCTGCTTTCACAACCTCTGCTAGCTTGTCCACATTAGGCTTTCTTAAGAAGGCACTGCATCTAAAGGTAAGAGCATAAATGACCATCTAATCCTTGGTCACTTCACTGCCACGAATTGTGCAATAATTACAGTCTTTTGATGTAGACATTTGTTTACAAGAAATTGAGTTGATGTTATTTCACCAGAAATGTCAACTTTACCCATGAACTGTAATTCTCATTGAAAGGAGTGACCTACAGATGAAAACACCTGAGACCTCTTTAATTACTTTCCTGAACTATATTCTAAAGAGAAATTATCAGCTGAGTAGGTCTCCTAAGGAGGATTTCCTCTAAGTTTCCCATGTTAACTTAGTACAAATGGTCTTCCTGAGTAGAAGAAAAATAATTTCTGTAAGTACTGATAGTTTAATGTGAATATTTTTGCTGTCTATGTCCTTAAATATGTAGACAAATATATAGATACTGTAAAATTTAAAGTGGGACTAAGTGTTTTCATGTATAGTTTGTCTTTTCCCCCTTTGCAGATTTACTGTCCTCAGGATAAATTGGACTCACTTTTATTATCCCAGTTATTGAAATGTAATGATATGTCCCTAGAAATATTTAGCACTTCCATTTTTTAAGTGAGATGTGCAATTAACATGACAAAGGCAAGTATTAATATTCCTATTAAAAAAGTATTTATTCCCAGAATTTTTTCCCAGTTAACATTAAAGCTTTATCCCACTTTTCTCTTTTATGCCAAATGACCTCAGTACATTGCCCAGAAAATGAAATTTGGATTCTTCAGTGTTCTCAGAACACAAGACAACATGTTATTAGCTAAATTACCATCGTGTCCTGACAGAATTGCTCAGGAAAACGCAATTAATCATCTACTTATTAGAAAACAACAACTCAAATAACCTTTCCAGTTTACGTAATTTGAAAATAAATCTAATTTTAGCCACACCTTAGAAATGTTTTTAATATAAACAGATTAAACTGTGTATGTGGCTTTCTATTAGATTATATTTCAAAATATTTACTTCCCATGCATTACAACAGTTAAAAACTTAACAAAATATACGTTAGAATGAATAAAGGACATGGCGTTGTTTCAAACATGAATGGACAAGTCTTTATAAAGAGGGTTCTTTATAGCCATCAGCTTATTGTACTGTTTATCTAATTGTGATTTTAAGAATTTAAGATGTTTTCTTACTACATGTGTTAAAATGTTACTTATAATATCTTCCTGGAAAGACAATTATTTGTCAGGCTTTTATGAACGCACAATTCATGTATAACTGTAATTGGAGTCTGGGATGCCTCTTCATAATCTCCTGTCCTTCATTCTACTATGGCCACCAGCTACCCAATACATTTTGTAAATTTAGCGTCTGCCTGTGTGTGTGTGTGTGTGTGCACACATGCATGCACATATGTGTGTTATTACATTTTCAATTGGATTTATCACTCTCCATTTTTGTACAGATATTTGAGCTAGTCACGCAACGTAAAAGGTTGCCATAAAGATGTACGTAAATATCCCTTAATTTCACACATTTTCACATTTAATTCTAAAAATACAGATTTTCATCTACAGTTTCTACCATTTCTAGCCTCTAACTTTATTACTTATTGAAAAAGTAAAGGAAATTGTTCATATGAAGCTAGCATAAATGCTGTCTGAATGATAAAATTGTAATTAATGTGGACATCTGTGTCTATAATTAAATTAGACATTATGCTTTATGTAAAAACCAGGTGTCTCTAATGTCAAAGAATTTCTTTATATGCAATTTACATAGGTTATGATGAGTGGCTAGCTCTATGTGGTCAGATAACTAAACTTTGAATACCAAAAATATAACTAGTA